TAAATCTGACAGCACCCAGGATTTTTTATTTCCTGCCGCAACATACAGTAGTCAAGTCCAGACATTTTCCTTTGAAGGCTTTGCAGCACTCTTCTCACAGCAGCAGCACTGTCATGCTAATCTCCTCTTCATCAGCATGAAGGTCATTAGTTGGAGAGATTCAGTTAAGCAATCGAGACGTTGACAAGAGCATTTTCAATAGTCCTGTCTGTCACTGTACACCTGTCTGGAGTCTCAAGGTCTAGTTGAATTGTGGAGTCTGAGGAGAGGGCGACAGGTCTGGGTGCTGTGTCTCCATGTGTATTGCATCAGTGTCACAGACTCGATCTCTACTTCATGCTTTAAAAAAACTTCAGAAAGAATTTCAAGTAGTTCATGTTTCTCTGAACTTGGATAATTGCATTTTAGCTAATAATAAACAAGTAACTTTTCAATCTGAAACACCGTTCAACAGATTTTTAATGAATTTTGGGTGAAAGTGGGGCAATAGGACAAAGTCAAACAGATTAGTCTGTGCTGTGAAAAACACCTGGTGGCTCTTTTATGGAGCACTTTTTTAAATTTTTGCTTGTACATCCATAACTCATCACATATCTATCACCCATTTCCCACAGTTTCCTTTAACCAGTCACCACATTCTGGAAGACCTGTCTTATTTGACACAATCTGCTATTGTATGTGAATGCATCGTGCATTCACGTAATCAAATATAGGTGACACATGCACACATCAACTCCAGGTGATCCTACTAAATGTGATTGCCATTGCCACTACAACAGCGTGATAAATGTAAATGTCCAGAACTCCGTGGAAGTGAGCCTGACTGACTTGTACAGAGCCCTGATATTCTCAGATAAGGTTTACGTGTTCTAGAAATCAGCATTATTGTCTAAAGCAATAATAGTTAACATTTTTACTAAAAGATTTTGAAGAAAATAGTCAAAAAGAAAACCCAATAGTCCAAAAATTATTATTAATAATTATGAAACTTCCTTTCATTATAATTTCTGTTGATCGACTAATTCATTAATTGATCAATTGTTCCAGCTAGTATTAGCACTGTACAGTATTGTATCAGGTGCATTATCAAGGAGTCTTATTTGTTGACTTTTATCGTTATCGTTACATGTTGGTTATACCTGATAGGAAATCTGTACTTTTGTAAACACATGCGCGAGCACACACACACAGCCGCACCCACAAAACAACCAAAAAACCACAGCACAGAAGCATGGGTTTTAGATCAGTAACCAATATTTGATGGATGTTAACATCAGTGGCTCGATGCCAGAGCCTACCGTAACAGCCTGTAGGAGCCAGTGCTGTTGATACTGTTTATGGATCCACTAAGTAAAGATCCACCTCTGACTGCAGCCAGCTAGGACATTCACGTCAAGCTTACTTAGTTCATTGTGCGATGATTCAAGCATACAGTATCTGTGTGTGTGTGTGTGGTGTGTGTGTGTGTGTGTGTGTGTGTGTGCACTACCTGCAATGTTAGTGTTCTCAGTGGACTGGGTCTGGTGACTGTGACTAATGTTACCCTAGGGCTTGTCGGAAATAGGCGCGACTCAGCTGTGGTCAGCAGCTCAGTCGTCGCGACTTGCAAAGAACATGAGTGAAGGAGCGGATAATTGATAGTGACAAGGCGCTCCCAGCCTTAATTGCTGCTGGTGAATTAGATTACCTTTTCAAAGTGCCTTCATTAGCAGAGGGAGAGCCATACCAATGGTCCCCTGATTGGCCTCATATTGTTTTGCTGTGAACCTGCTCTGGCAAGGCACGAGGATGTGTGTGTGTGTGCGTGCGTGTGTGTGTGTTTGTTTTGGTTGGATTGAAATTGCTCACTAATTTCCATGTACAGCTGTAGTTTGACTGTGTGACTGTGTGACATGTGTGTATGTTGTGCACATCTAGTGTCAATAATGTCAAGTTGTCAAACTGACACATTTAGCAGGAAGCGTTTATCTGTTTTTATGGGCCACTGACTGCTTTGACAATTTTAAAGGGCCGTTTCACTCAAATTGCAAAACAGACAGATTGTCTCATTTATCTCTAGTGGTATCTAAGCAAATAGTTTTAGTTTTATTTACTCAGAGTTCTCCTGCTACCCTAATACAGTGGGAGTAAATTGTATTTGCAATTAAAGCATTCAACAGCAGTGTGTCTTTCACGCACACTAAAAACAAGACAGTTACTCTAGATAGTCCATGTACTTTGCTGGGATGGCTTACTACAAAAAAATAGTCCCTATAGAAGTAGTTGATCATTAGACTAAAGTGCAGTGAAGGCGGGAGATGGAAGATGAGGCTGTGTCTCAGCAGGGTCGTCCACTAATTGTAGGGTTGGCGGCTCATCCTGTCCACATGTCACAAGTGTCCTTGAGCAAGACACTAAATCCCAAGCTGATCCTGTGTGTTAGTGTAATGTGTAATATTATTTTAAAGAGTGTTATTATCTTGCATAAACAAAAACTCTGCAGCCAGCATTTAAGTCGAATTGTAAATGGGCCTCAAACTGATACCTGACAGCAAACCACAGCATGGGCACAGATTGACTTCTTATTTGAATATAACCATACCTGATAATAACCTTACCTGAACCTGACTCGTGGGGTTTGGAACTCTACATACTACTACTGTAACTAGACATCTGTCAATCTCCGGTGCTGAAAACAACAAACATTAGGCAACAGGTAAAGTCAATGGTTAGACATGATAAATGAATGGGTAGGACAGGAGAGAAGGCACCCAGCATACTGTAGCTCTCTGTCGGCTCTCAGCCACAGGATCAGCACCATGGAGAGCTCCAACACCCCGTTATCCAAAGTGATCCCCGTCCTCATATAACCTTTAATAAAAATAATTCCAATAGGTTCCATGTAGTAAGCTTTTTAAATATGGGAAAAAAAGACTGTTATCTGATCGGTACATACCCCGAGTTGAGATATTGAAATTGGTATTGGTGGATATCAGGTGGATTAGTGCATCCCTGGTCTCCAGTACATTTATCTGTCCAAAGTTGTATTTCTGTCCTGCTACCATCTTCAATTGTGAACATTTTTCTGGCTTTTAGGGGATTTCTATTTTTAGATTAGGCATTCCAACAAATTCCAGTGCAACCAAACAAGAGTGCTATAATAGGGTCCTTATTGTTCCTAATACTTCTGTGAGTATAGTGGGAAGTAATAGAAAAATAAATATCAAAGTGTACCTTTATTGATTCCAAAGGGGGGGGGGGGTTGTTTTTTCTCTCTCATTTTTCTTAGTGAGATCATAGGTCAGGGTTAGTTACATCACTTATGGGCCTTGTAGGGGCTTGAGCAAGGGGGATCTTGGTTCTACAAAGACTTAAAAACCTAAGTTCTCAAGTCGAAAAGAAGTTTCTGTGTCCCTGCTGCCAGTACAAAAAGTAAACACCCTAAAAGCTAAGGAAAGAGATAGAGGGGATTTTTCAGAGAGCAAGCGGTGAAAGTAGAGAGGGGTTATCACTCCATGCAGAGACGGTGACATGCGCATCTTCTTAAAAAAAAAACTGCCCGAACCCAAAAGTCCAAAACCTCACCCCCTCTTCATCCCCTGCAGCACCAGTTTCAGCTCCAGCCATCTTTCCTCATCCCATTTCCATATCTGTCTCCAGTCACTGCTCCATCACCAGCCCCCCAGTACCCCCCCATCCCAAAAACCCACTGGCATCCCCATCCTCATGCTTCATCCTTGCCCCAGCCAGCCTGCAGCCCCCTGCTGAGTTAAATGGAGTGTGTCGGCGTCAGGGGAGTCGCGTGTGCTCAGTTCAGCTCAGCTCAGCTGGGCTGCCAGCGTTATAAACTTACTGTGTGATTATTGTCAGAGCGAGACTCCTCCACCCAGGAGGTCTGCGCTGATGGGTACTATGTCACCGGGTACAGCCAGCCATGGAGGGTGGGATGAAAGAGCAAAGGAGGGATAGAAACCGGGGTGAGGAAAGGACGTGGAGAGGGAAGAGAAATACTGTTGGTTGGGGAGATGGAGAAAAGTAGCAGTGATCGGGGGAGAAAGGATAGAGAAAGATGAGCAGGAGGGCAGAGAATCATCAAAGGAAAGAAAAAGCCAAGCTGAGCAAGGAAAGTCTGATGTATACCTATCTCAGCAGACAAAGACAAGGAAAGACACACAGGGAGTGATATAAAGAGGGAGAAGCAGAAGAATAATGTGCCGGGAGAAGAAAGAGAGGCAGCAGGGAAATCAGCAGAGGAGAGAGACACTGAGGGTGGGTAGAAAAAGGCAAAGAGAAAAATTAGAGAGAAGGTTTTCAAGCAAGTGATGTGTGCTGTGATTGTTTTCTCTCTCTCTCTTTCTCTCACTTTATCTCTCTCTCTCGCTCTCTCGCTCTCTCTTTCTGTCTCTCTCTCTCTGTCTCGCTCTAAACGGTCGGGATGTGGCCTGTATCTGCCGGCAAGAAGGAACTCAATTTGGGACAATTTACTCGGCAGTCTCAGCCCTGATGCACCTCAGGGACAGAGAATGGAGAGAATGAATGTGAAGGAAGATAGAATCAGCAAGCCACACACACACACACACACACACACCACACACACATACAACGTGCGCCTTGCACACAATTGCCGGCGAGTAGATTTCACTTAGTTAGTTCTAACTCTCCCAGGCGGTCAATACGATGTGAGTTTATAAGGCTTGGAAATGAAAAGCCCAGGATAAGGTTAGATAAACTGTGTGCTATTTGATTTCGGCCAACCTCTTGCAGAAAAAACCCCCACACAAGACAGATGGCCGGAGGGGATACACTGATATCATGTTGGTAATATTGGTGATTAAGGCCGAATACGTTATGTGATTTGACCCTTACACTGTATCTGTATTGGTCTCTCTGACAGGGTGAAAACAAAAAAATCTTAAATAAAAGACACTCAACCAAGCACAACTTACAGTAACTCTTTACCCTTTGTGTCCTGAAAGTGAGGCTTTTCACATCCTGACCACAATATGTTTCTATGCTGACAGGTTGGCAGCCTGGAGGGTGTGTATACCCTGAGAGACAGCAGGGGGCGCCCTGACAGAGCCACCTTTGAGAGCAGACTTAGGACTGCAGCAGGGGTAAGTATTTTTAACTGTTTCATTAAAAAAAAACACTCTGTCGAATAAATACACATCACACGTTAGGATCTAGAGAGTGGATCAAGCTGCAGGTTCCCAAAAGAAGCTGCTCTAAGGTTTTTGTTTTTTGCTCTTTTTTTTTGGCCTGACTCGCACTGTCTGTGTAACACAGCGGGAAATGGATTTGTAACTACAGCAAATCAGAGCGTTCAGCTACTTAGACGTGACTGTTTGATACATTTAACACGGCCACGTCAAGGTGAATTCACACTCTGGCGTCGGTTCTGATTTTACACAGCATGTATATGCAAATGGAAGTTCATTTGGCTGGCGTTGCTGTTTTAATCAGGGTCTAGTGTTGATTAGCGAGAAGGATGAAAAAAAAAAGAAAAGAAACAGAGCCATGTGGTGAGTAATGGTTGAAAGTTGTTTACCTCACTTGTGTAGCTCGTGTGCCAGTTCCACCCGATATCACTGTGTGCCCCCACCCCCCCGCACTCGCCACCTTCAACAAGCCGCTCCGCATCACCCTCCACAGCGCACAATGCAGCCTCCTCGCCGGGCTTTCGTTGCCAGGGAAACCCTCACCCACAGAGACATCCTGTGACAGCACAGGGTGAGGGAGGAGGGACGGGAGGAAGGGTCGGAGACGCGGCTTTGGCCCTGTCCGTTCTCCAGGGTGCACCAGACCTCTGGCCCTTCCCCAGCACGCTGCCCCTTCAGTGGCACACACACAAAAACTGCACAAAGCAACCGTGCATTTACACACACAGAAAGACACACAAGCAAGGGAAAGAAATGGACAGAAAGTAAAACAGAGAGAAGAGGATTCCAAACGTTCCGATTCAGAGTTATCATCTGAATCAGTGTGCGTGTGATTAATTGAAGTAATTTATGTGCAATCTCCAGTGACTCTATGTATGGTCCATGATTTCATTACACTGTAACTTTAATTACTTTTCTACCATCGTAACTTTAGGTGAAAATGAATTTGCACCCTTAAAATGTCCCACATTTCATAATGAGCCTTAAATTTAATGGATTGCACGAATAATGTTTTGGGATAATGAACGATTGCATTTTTAGATATTGTATCTCTTTAGCAGGCACTGTTGCATTAAAGTTTGTTTGTTGGCTGTGTTGTTTTATGTGAACTGATCATTTTTAGCACAGAGGCAAGAACAATTTCTCTAATATCACTAACTTGAACTCAATAGGAAAACCTTTTTATTTGGGAAGATGAGGCCTTATAATTTAACCAATCAGACTAATAGATTTAGCTTTAATAGCAATTTTATTAAGCTGAATATGGTCAATATTGTAATAGGTGTATGGATGATGTATTTATGGTGGGTTATGTGTTGCCAAACACAATTACAGTGTGTTAGCTACAGCAGCTGGCCTGCTGCCAAAGCTTAAACTATACTCCATCCACCCACCTCTGACCAGACCTCTGTCTATACAAACCGGCATGCTGCTTTTCACTCTGCACTTTGCAGGTGGGTTACATTACCGACTTCACTAATTACTGCACAATGCGAGGTTCAGTAAGCTGCAAGGTTGAGACAGAGTTAATGTTGTTGTTTGTCTAGAGGTAAAAACAGTGTTTTTGTTGTACTATTCCTGGGATCTCACATAAGGTGTTAAGTGTGCTGCTCTCCATTTGTTGAAAGACAGAGTTACTGGTGCATCTTAGTTTAGTTCCACTAAATCTAATGCATGAAAACACCATCTTATAATGCTTTTGCTACACAGAGTGTTTGTTGCCACAGTTCTACGTGAAGTTTTGAATTTTAAAATGAAAGTGTTTAAATTTTCTTTGGAACATAAGGAGACACTTCAGGCCTTGTTTTAGATTTTAACGTAGAAAAATAGAAGAGAAGTATTGTATTTATTGTATATAAACTGACATGTACTATGTATAGCTTTGTAACTACATCTGCTTGCTAAAGACTGGCGGAAAAAGGTTTGGGAGATGTCTGGAGTGTCCCACGTACTTACCGTACCTGAAGTTTCCACTCAATTTAAGTTATAAGCCAGCATGTATTAAAACTTTGTGATATGGTTGAAAGCTCCAAAACAAGGGAGTACGTTGACCTTGAGTGCATTCTTCTACTTCTGTTACCAAGGATAACAATGAACTGTCTAGCTCATACATACACAGATGCTCTAAAATTGTGTACAAGTGTGTAGGATTTACTTCCATCTAGTGGGGAAGTTGCAGATTGCAACCAAGTGAATACAGCTCTGCCTTTCACACATGCAGGGGAAACTATAAAAAAAGGCCCTACTTAGAGTCAGTGTGTGGTTTGTCCATTCTGGGCTACTGTACATATAAAAACATGATTTCTGGGAACAGATCCTCCTAAATGATACTCATTGGTTCTTTAATTGAATATAGTAACATATTATGTCATATAGTTGTAACTATACTGTGCTGAGAAATATCCTGTAACTATGATTTATAAGAAGTGAAAGTAAAACCCAGTATTTTACAAATGACTCCCCTATTTGTCAGTGTGTAAATAAAATGAACCATGGCCAACAAATAAAAATGGATTAAAAAATAGAAATAAAATAAACATCACAGTTGATGGAAACCATTGTTCAATTCTTCAGAAAGAAACTACTTTTAAAAATGAAACATTTTAGTTGAACTGAGGAATAGCTCCATAACAGAGGAATAATAAACACACTTCATAAATCAGTGCAGTCTGCAACAGCTGCTGCAGCTCATATCATACACTGGCTGAGTTAAAGCTGTCTATAGGAATGGGGCTCTGGGGCTCACATCTTCAGAGCTGTACTATAACAACCTACTGCCAGCAAAGCAGCAATCAGCTGTTGTATTAATCGGACTGCTAATGACATAATTAGCAAGGCTGTGGAAAAAACGCTCCACACAAACATGTGAGAGCTCGGAGACAACACGCAGATCAGGCCACAAAACGCACACATGCACATTTACACAGCTAACAGACCACTCACATGCATTCTGACTCAAAGAAAAACATACAGGATCCTCACAGGCAACCACCAGACAGTTAATGCATAAACACATATGGCTGCTGTGTGACAGGACATAACAACATCCAAGTGTTTCTCTCTTGTCTCTGTCTGTACCTTGTTTCCTGCAGGTTCCATCTATCCTTACTGACCCTCCTCCTAACTGTCCTAACCATCGTACCGCTTGCAGTTTCATCCTCAAACACACAGACATGTCTCTGACTGAACTCTACACTGACCTTTTACAAAATGTCTCAGATACTAACCCCCTGCCAGCTTCTGACATACACACACTGGTCCCTGCTGGTGTGCTACACACTTAACACACCAAAAAAAACCACTGTGCAGAGTATGTTCGGTCCTCTGACTTTTTTTCTTAGCTTTATTGTTACTGCCTGTAGCTGAAACAAAGCTCTCAGGAGCGAGAGAAGTCAAAGACATATGCAGCATTGACTGTTGTGAAGTGAATAATTGCACATTGAGTTATGTAAGGAGAAACCTCTTTTTCCAAAAAAGATGTTCAGAGTCCAGGTCAACCAATCAACCAACCGACTCCACATTTTTTGAGTGATTACCTCGTCTAGCCAACCAGTGTAAGGCTCGCTTATCAGAGGAAAGTATTTAGCATCCATCAGTAGACATACTAAAGTGACACAATTGAACAAAAAAGTCATGTCTGTGGCATATTCACTACTTCCTACCAACAATAACGCAATGCTTCGCATTTTATAGAAACTTGCAGTAAGGTGACAGTAAAGTTATGAGGCAATATGATGTTGATTCATATGTGTCTGACATCCCATTTTACTGCTCACCACAGAGCAAGCTTTGAGTGTCTACACTCATGGAATAGTGATTGAACGAAGGGAGTGATTTGGGACACAGCCTTAGTTACTCACCTTCTGTGTGTGTAGTGAAAACTTGCATGTACATACTCCATACACCAGTCAGGGTAAGCCAAGTTACAAGTTTAAAGAGGTCCCTTTATCTGTTATCTTGAGGAGAACAGGGTTGAATTATAGACGTACAAGTGGAGTCTGTATCACACATGTTGCGTCATACAAGGCAGAGGCTGGTAGTAGCCATACCAGCTCTTGATGTGGACAATTTAGGTTTTATTTTTTTGGTTCCAAATTGTTACACAGAAGTAGGCCTTTTTGACCTGTTATTGTGGGAAATCACAAGTATTACTAATAACATCAACGATGGCCCAGTGTCCCATGTAAGTCAGTAAATCAGCATGTATCCTGAAACTGATGCAGCTAAATGGAATTTAGCTATCGTTAATCTTATTATTTACACCTGTGCTTTTCCAATTGTGACATGTCTGAATTTCAAAAGGCCTATAGACCTTTTTCAGAGCGGACATTTTGGAATGTTATAGCAGGAAAAGCACAGGTGTAATTATTGACATTATATATGATGCATTCCCTTTAGGTGAGTTAATTCCAGGGTTCAGAACAGAGCCATCATTACGGTTATTTGTAACACCCGTGCCTTTCCTACAAGGACATGTAAGCGGTAATGTTTGTTAATGGTGTAAAACAGTTAGCTAATTGCAGTGTCCAATTAGCTGGCAAACCAGCATCATCAGTTCATGCTGCTAATTTCCACGTTGTATGTCAAACCTTGGTATTTGAACACCTGTTCTTTTTTCACTGTTGTAGGTGGTAGGTGTTAAAGCACATTTGGGTTTGAATGTTTGTTAAAGAGAAAATTTAAAAATTCAATCTCTCTGAGACAAAAACTATTCATTGACGGTTTTTTAGTCTTTATATTGTCATTGACTAGCCTAGGTATTGGTGATACAGTACGTTGGTACATTGAATGTACACTCTTTGAAGTAGTCTTGAGTTTCATATACACACAGAACAGGTGGTAAGCTAGGAAACATTATTAAGCTAGTTTTCACTTGTTTGTTTTTCGCGTTTTTAGTTCCATCTACAGATACTCTCTCTGTCTCGCTCTTTCTCTCTCTCCCACCCACTCTTCTATCCACACAGGATAGAAAATACATACAACATTTTCCTTTGCTTCCTCATTGCTGAAGCATTTGTGTGCTTTTTTTTTTCTCTCCTTATTTTTCTTTCTTTTTTTTTGTGATATATTTTTTTTAAAGACTCCAGTCACATCCGCAATCCCGCGGCCCTATAAGGAGCTTTCACGCTTTTTGGTTTGCTTTAGATGTTTAATACCCCCTCTCTTTTGTGTCAGGGAGCCGGAGAGGCGTTAAGAAGCGCTGATAAACCCCACTTAGATCCCTTCCTGGCCCGTCACCCTGGCCTGCCGGGCCGCTTTAGCAGGGAACTGATCTGTGACGGCCTGCCACTCAAACTGGAGCACTTCTGAAGGGCTGACGTACAAGTTGGAGCTGAGCATCACACCAGGGAGCCCCAAGGGGTGGGTGGGAGGGGGAAGGAGGGAGGGTGAGGACGAGGATGGAGAGGAGCCAAGAGGGCTGCCTTAAAAGGAGGGCTATTGGAGGGAGGGGCCAGAGTGTATCTACCCTCTTATCTTTCTCCTCTCTTCGAATTTTTATGCAATTTCTGCCCTCCCTTGTCCCCCTTGGGCTGCTCGCTACTGTAGGAGTTCACACATTGTGTCTTTTTTTTGCGTGCGTTTCACGTTCTTCATTCTCTGGATCGGAGGGTAAGACAC